GGAAGGAAGGAAGGAAGGAAGGAAGGAAGGAAAGAAGAAAGGAAGGAAGGAAGGAAGGAAGGAAGGAAGGAAGGAAGGAAGGAAGGAAGGGGGAAGGGAGAGAGGGAGGGAGGGAGGGAGGGAGGGAGAGAATAATTCTCCAGTCACTCTAAGTTCTTCTCTTATGTTGAGGACTTATACAGTAGGGCAGGTTAGAATGGGCATGTGGATAAAATGGATCTTCCAATTTGCCAACTCTGCCCACTTCCATTCAATGGATGGGTGAAAATTTTATGTCCTCATGCCCTCAGCCCATTCCTTTCCATTTTGGCCAGTAAACCAAACAAGCAACAAGTCCTTATTGCACACTCACTATGTGATCAGCCCTGTGTCTGGAGCTTCAGAGACTCAAGGAAATGTGAGCTGTCAAGATCTGAGACTTGGAATCTGAGCACCTGAAGCAAAATAATTGCTCTGCCCAACTCCCTGTGCAACGTCAGCAAATTGCTGAACTTTTTGAATCTCAGGTTGCTCATTTGTAAAATGGGGATAATATTAGCACTTATTAGATTACCTGTAAGGCTAGAATGAATAATATGAGGGAAATGCATTGTAAACAGTATATGCCCAGGAAATTTAGAACCTGGTTAAAAATGATCATGTAACAACAAATGGAACAATGTGAAACTGCGTATAATAGACAGGAAACTGGACTTCAGGGATCAAGTGAGTAACTTGGAACAGAGTCTAGATGAACGAAGACTATAGGAAAAGTTTCCGTGATAAAGATACAGAGAGATGTAGTGCCAGAAAAAGGAATGTTATCATAAGCTGCAATAATAGCATAGTATTCAAATGAAGTGGTTGAGGGTCTTACTGTACTCTCTACTGGGAGTATTAGACTCATCCCCAAATGTCACACTTCAAGTGGGCATGCTTCCAAAGGAGAGGAACTAAAAGGGTAATGATGTCACACAGCAATGAGTGGAGAATGGGGATGTTTGGTCTAGATAAGGCCTGTTAGGAGGGTGGGGAAGGTGTACATGATGGGATGTGATAGCAGCTTTCAAAGATCTGAAGGGTTGTGGCTGTTAAGTGCTGAAGAGGTTAGGCTTGGTATGTATACCCTCCATGGAGATTTGTTGGAAGTACAATGCCTGGTTACATAATAGGTGCTCAATAAATATTTGTTAAATGAATGGATGATTTCATACATGAATGAAATTATGGTGAGATAAAATTACAGTCAATAAAAGGAAGCCTTTTCTAGCAGTCAGAGCTGGGCTAAATATAGATCCTGTGGCCCCAGGACAACAGTCACTAGAGGTGTTAGAGGCTTGTCTGGGTCACCTCTAGTGGTGGAGAGTAGGGAAAGGGGAATCCTCGAGGATATGCAAAGACCAGATGGTGGGCAGTGTGGGACATGTTACCCTTTAGATCTTTTCCAGCTTGAGACTAGATTAGCTAGGTGGAAACTAGAGAAAACTAATGGCATCTGAAGGAAAGGGGCAGGAGGGTACTGTTTCATAAACTTGGGACAGCAATACAGAAAAAGATATAAGGAGAGAAGGGTGGAGGGAGAGGGAAGAAATAGATCCCTGAAGGCAAGATAGTAGGGGTCCCTTAGCTCTCTGAGCACCAGTCTCCATTGACAGAGAGAGACTGACCAGGTGATTCCTTCTAGCTTCAACGTGCCAGAAGTCTATTCTCCCAGGCAGGTTAGGAAGGACAGGGAGGGCAGGAACTGGTAAGCTTTAATACACATTGACTAGCGCATTTAGCTGAGTCAATAAAGGCCCCAGAATGGATGTTGGGGATGGGTAAGAGCTACAGGGTTTCTCAGGGATCCTGTTTTCCCATTCAGTCAGGCCCAATTTATCTTATAATGAAGAAGATGGGATTGGAGTCAAGAACGGCTGAAGGAGCTTTAGAGATTTCTCCCTTGAATTCAGGTCCTTTCTATTGGAGGCAAAAGAGAAAGGATGCTGACTTACTCTCTCAAACCCTGGCTTGAACTGAAAAGAACAATGTCTTTGTTCCTTGTGATTTGGACCCACAGCCACCTCCCTGAACCCTTGGTCTGTTCTGAGCAAGTGAGGAACAAAGTGATGCCACCAGTCTGTTTACTTCTGTGCAGAGACAACCCCTTTCCACTGAGTCCTCTGGCAATGCTCACCCCTTCGTTCCCCTCTGAAGAGTAAGCTGGCTCCAAGGCACTTCTGAGTCACCTTATCTCAAGATTATCAAATCATTTAGCTCTGACTATTGTTCAAGCATATTCTATAATCTAATTAAGAAACAATCACTCTTTCAGTTAATAAATTATTACTGACACCTACTGAACCAGGTACAGTTCCATGCTGCTCCTTCTTCACAGAGTTCAGGGCCTGGTACTCTGACAGCTAAACAGGTCACTCTCTTGCAGGGTGATAATGGCGGTGGTAGAAGTACTAGGAATGCAATGAGAGTCCAGAGGCGGAAGCTTCTACTCTGCCTGGGAGAGAGGAGAAAGGTTTTGCAGAGAAGAGAGCTCTTGTGAGAACAAGTCTCTCTGAATGCAAATTCTTGTAATATTGTTATTTTGGGAAGCAGATGATACAATGAAGAGTTTGAAACAGTGGTTCTCAACCTGTGGGTCNTATTGAATGTCAACTGTAATGGAAAAATATAAAAAGGGGGGGAAAGGGGAAGGAAAATAAGAGGTTTGAATTTCCAGGTATAAAACAAATAAGACATGGGGATATAATGTACACCATGGCAAATACAGTCAATAATATTGTGATACTGTGGTATGGTGTCAGATGGTTGCTGGACTTACGGTGATCACTTCTTTAGGCAAATAAAGGTTGACTAACTATGGTGTTCCCCTGAAACTAATATAATATTGTATGTTAGTTATATTTTAATAAACATCTTTTTTTTAAAAAAGAACTGGATGGGATGAGCAAGTGTCAGGAATCTTGGAAATTCTCTTGGACGATATCTTAGTGCTTTGCTTGGCTCTCTGCTGGGACAGCACAGTAACCCCACTGGTGGGGCCACCTAATATTACTTATAGATTAAACTCAGACCCCAAATCTGGTACCATCAGATATAAGAAACCCTGGGTTTGGTACTTTCTGGCATCTCACTATGTTAGGCTTGTGCCTGGTTCCACGACTTGGTACCCAGGTGCTTGCTACTATAATTTTATTCCATCTCCCCTCCTGGTGTCCTAGTTCCCCCATGATTAGGGTGCTTTCCTGCTTCTCCACGTCCTGCTCCTTAACCATAGATGCCACAGACTTCTTAATATTGACTGGTTTCCTACCCCATCCTGGCAGAGCTAAATGATGTCTAGGTCTCACTCAACCCACTCCTGGTGATGACAGACCAATGCAAACTATGGCAGGAACATACAGAATGTCCCCAATGGGTCTGTCTGATGGCAGCTGGAGCCCAAGTGAATTGAGCCATGCAAAACATGCTAGGGCTACAAAAGGTATAAGGTAGGCGTGGGGGTGGGGGGTACATTTTAATCAATATTTTGAACATGAAGAACAAGAAAAGGGATAGGCCCACAGCTTTGGGCATATGGTTAATGTTGACAGATGGCAGATAGAAAGCAGCGCTATTTTTATTTTTGCTATATTCTTCAACACAGTTCCATAAGACTAGGGATAGGCATGTGTTATTCAAATTTTCAGAAAAGTGAAAAGAGGTCAAATTTAGAAACTACAGATTGAATAACAACTTATCATTACAATAATAAAACAATAACAATAATGAAACCCAACATTATTACATGCCGGGCATGGTGCTATGTGCTTTCCATACATTATCTCATTTTAATTGTCATATCAAACCCATGAAGAAAGTGTTATTATTCTCATTTTACAGATGAAGAAACTGAGGGTCAGAGAAGTTGAGTAACTTGCCTTATTAGTTCACAATAAAAATATCCAGGATTTCTCCCCAGGTGTGTTTGACTGCCAAGCCTGTGCTCTTCAAATTCTAAAACAAATTGTTCATGATTTGTGTAGGAAATAAAGTGTTCACTAGGAGACCGACTATATGAGGTGATTGGCAGCCACAGCCAGTTGTGTCAGACTAAATTTAAACCACTTTATTGGAAAATTTTACCCAGAAAGTTCAGGGAAAAATCTAGAGACCAGATATTCCTTGACGTCAGCAAGGCAATTTCTCTNCTGAGTATCTTCATGCTCAGCACTGGCACCAAACCAGAATTTACATTAAACTGATGACCACAACTCTTCCCACTCTAGTGAATCCCTGAGACCCTGCCACACTCAACTTGTGTATTG